GCTTGTCGTATAGTCTCTTCTGCGGGTGGGATTAGGACAATGCCTAAACCCGCTCCTTTTACATTTGAAGAGCCATCGGTAAACAAGGTCCAAGTACCTGGATTAGACCCGTTAAAGACCCGCAGTTCTTTTTTCGCTTCTGTTGCCATGCCTGGGCTAAAGTATGCCATGAAATCTGCTAAAACTTGTGATTTTATTGTAGTTCTAGGTTGATATGTGATGTCATATTCACTTAGTTCTATAGCCCATTTAGCTAACCTACCTAATAACTCTTGCTTATGCAATATATTACGTAAAGGGTAAACAGTTACTACGGAGATGGGATGACATTGAAAATAAGGCATTAATTTTCTGGATGCCATAATTAATGCTAAAGTTAGTTTTTCTAGATAAGGATATCGAGTTTCAACATACAATAAAGTCTTGCTAATATAATAAATTGGAGATTGTTTACCTCTGTCCTCTCGAACTAATACGCCACTTACCGCCACTTCTGAAACAGTGAGATAGATGAGTAGCTTTTCCCCATCCTTTGGTATAGCCAACAAAGGTGGATTTGAAAAGTATGCTTTTAAATTTTTGAGCACTTGTTGACATTCTTTAGTCTATTCAAATTGACTTTGCTTTTTCAAAACTGAAAAGAACTTAAAGCTTTTCTTCTAAGATTTAGAAATAAATCTTCCTAACACTGTTATCCTACCTGTTAACCTCTACACTTTTTTTTCTTATGAGTATATCCGATATTTCTTCAATAGCTTTAATCTGCGGGGGATTTACTTCAATTCCACAGTTACAAACAAGGAAACCTAAGAACTTACCTGGAGACACGCCAAATGCACATTTCTCGGGATTTAATTTCATATTGAATTTGTAGAGAATCTAAAACGTATCTGACAGATGTTGAATATGATCCCCTACCTATTGTAATTTGACTAGCATATCATCGATATAAACCTCCATGGTTTTTCCCAGATGTTCGTGAAACATCTTAGTCACTAATCTTTGGTATGTGGCTCCTGCATTCTTTAGACCAAAAGACATAACTTTGTAACAGTAAGTCCCCCTTTCTATAATAAAGGAAGTTTTTTCCTCTATCTGAAGGATCCATTTTTATCTGATTATATCCTGAACATGCATCTAAAAAACTTAGTAGTTCGTGTCTTGCAGTAGCATCAATTAGTTGATCTATGTGTGATAATGGAAAAGAATCTTTAGGGCAAGCTTTATTTAAATCAGTATAGTCTACACAAACTTGCCACTTACCATTCTTTTTGGGTACCACTACAGTGTTAGCTAGCCAATTAGGATATTTTACCTCGTGGATGGACCCGATTTTTAAGAGCTTTTGTACCTCATCCTGAATTACCTGATTCTTGAAGGACCCTTGCGTCCTTTTCTTCTATTTGACAGGTGGATATGTTGGATCTTCATTCAGCTTATGGGTCATTACATCCGGTGGTATACCTGTCATATATGAATGCGACTAAACAAAGCAATCCGCATTAGCTTTTAAAAATTTAATTAACTTACTTTTCATCTCCGGGCTAAGGTTGGTTCCAATGTACACTTTTCTATCCGGCCAATGTACAAATAATACCACAACTTCCAATTCCTCGATTGTTATTTTGATGTTTTCATTTTCTTCTGGTTCTTGAATAGTATCAGGCCTTGAGTCTACATCTATTTGTCCATCTACAGTTGAGGTTTGTGTTGCTAAATCCTCAACTGAATTCTGTAACTGCTATTTTTAATATACAACGTCGCTTTTTGCGCTTGAATCTGCCACTGAGTTAATACTTCGGGAAGCCTGTTGATCACCACGGATTTTTCTTATTCCCCATTGTGAAAGGAACCTGATAACCTGATGTAGGGTAGATGTAACAACATCTATTTCGTGAATCCACGGTCCACCGAGAATCATATTGTACGCCATGTCCATATCTATCACTTGAAATTTGGTATTTTTGACTACTCCTTCTGCGAATGTGGTGAGTAATATCTCCCCTTTTATTACAACACTCGAGTTTTCAAAACCAGACAAGGTCCGTGCTTTGGGTACCAATTTATCATCGGCTTGTATCTCGTTTGCCACTCTTAACAGAATGATATTTACAGAACTACCTGGATCAATCAAAACTCGTTTTACGTTAGTATCATGTACAAGTAAAGATATTACCAGTGCATCATTGTGTGGGATCAACACGCCATCTGCGTTTGCATCATCAAATGTTATACTATCTTCTTTCAAAACTTGACGAACTCGCTTCCCGTGGGTGACTGTGATTTTTGACACCTTCTTTGCTGTCGTATATGTTACACCATTGATTCTCTTTGGCGATGGAGGTTTCGGTGGTTCCTGCCTATTCTTCATATATGCTTGCTTACCCTTCTCACTAAACAATTAGGTTAAGTAACCTTATTTTAATAGGGGCTCTACTTCACCTTGTAGTAGTCTGAAATCTACTATTTTATGACCGTGATCGTTGTGAAACTCGCACAAAAAATCGGGGTTTCTCCTGTTGGGTTCGATCTTATTTCTTTTGACCACCACATTTTATCTCCCATGCTTCTTAAAACAGCTACCGGCTCGGACGTGCTAACATTAAAACTGTAACCTCTAATTTTCGCCTTTGAACTTCCGTCGTTGTCTCGCATATCTCGCATATTTCATTTCTTTCCAAACCGAGATGACGAACCCGAATCTCTGTCCTTTGACCTGGAATCATACTTTGGGTTTTCTTATTTTGAACGTGAATCCCTTCCTGTTGGTCCCATATAAGATTCGTACCTATTTTTACCGGACATTTTTCCAGTTTCTGGTCACCTTGAACTTACCCTTTCATCTCTTTGGGATTGAGTGATGGTGTCTTCTTCTATCCGAAGCTTCATGCTATACATGTTGCAAACATCATTCCAAGTTGTTGCGGAAAATTCTCGTAAGCTCTCTTTGAGTCTCCTCGTGGCTTTCGAGCTTTTTTCATTTAAATTACTGGAAAATGTCATAGCCACCCAATTGTCAGGTACACGTGGTAACATTATCCTTTCACACTGGAACCTGTCTATGAATTCCCTGAGTAGCTCCGTATTTCCTTGTTTTATTTTGAAAATGTCTTCCATACATTTTTAAACTTTTTGAGCTCCCGAGTGTGCTTTTATAAATGAATCTACAAGCTCAACAAAATAATCAATGGAATTTTCAGGTAAAAGAGAATACCATGTTAGTGCTCCCTTCGTGAGTGTTTTACCGAATTTTTTGACCAATACTAATTCAATCTCTTGCTTGGTCAAGTCGTTGCCCTTCATGCCAGTTGTAAATGCAGTTACATGATCTCGTGGATCAGTTGTCCCATCATACTTTGGGATATCGGGCATCTTGAACTTTTTTGGAATAGGCAAAGGTGCAACACATGGCTTCCAAGGTTGTTGAGAATATTTTTTCGTATCTACTCCTTTGATTATAGGTGGCACACCAGGTATCCGCTCTATGTGATCGTTCTGCTCCTTGAGTTGTTTCTGCAAAGTTAGTAATAAACTTTGTAAATCAGAATTAACTGGGATACCTGACCCTCCATCACGAGATTCGTTGGGAGTTACTCCGTTGCCTGAGTTAGCGAGCCGTGAACGTGGATTCTCTATGGTTGCGGTGTTGTTTGGAGGTGGAGTTGGTGGTACAGTTGGCAACCTATTGACAAAAGCTTGAAGAGCATTGTTGACTGTTCGGCTAATTGCTTCAATGTTGCATCAATAGCTTGATCGTTCTCATGGTCATTCATATTCGATTCAGATCTGTCAGGTGTCCCTTCTCGAGATTGTCGAGGAGAGTTTCGTGGTAAAGGGAGTGTAGTTCCATCTCCTTGTTGATTTTGCTGATTCAACTGATGTTGCTGATTTTGTTGGTTTTGTAGGTTTTGTTGGTTATGGTTGTTGACGTTCGACATGATGTTTTGGCAGAAGAATTGATTTGCAAAGTAAAAAGATTATCAGATTTTGTGTAACGGAACCAATTTGTTTAACCAAAAAATAAAAATTTCAGTCAAAGCTTATTTTTAGTACTCGGGTTACTGATAATCAAGAAAATGAATATTTTTGCAACGAGAAAGGAAAATTAGAGCGAGAAATAACAAAGCAATCAGTATAAAGCAAAAGTAAATAAGTGTATTCCAGTAATAATCAGAACGTATCCATACAAATGACATTTCTCTTCCTTTTATAGCTATTTCTAAGTACAACGTCTCTTCCCTCTCGTAATCGAGTTATTATGAGTATTTAATGACATTAATGAAACGTTATAATTGGCAATCGTAACTGTTTCGTGAAGATTCTGTAACGTTTCTAGTCATTCATGCTCATTAATTGAAGATTAACGAATCTGTACTTTTTGTTGTCTTGATTCACTCCATCAGTGTCTCTTCAAATTACGAAGATACTCGAGCAACCGTTTCTTCTTGTCTCTTAGATGTTTTGCTCGTACCTATTAAGACTCGAATCTCTTTAAGTACTCTTCTCCAGCTGTCCCTTTCTAATGATCCACATGTCTTGCCATGTCAGCCACATAATTAATTCCACGTGTAACATTTATTTTCCCCAATACAATAATGGTGATCTTTCCAGCAGGTAAGTTAATTTATTTTAACATTTGACTTTTGATCCCAACTTTAACCGAAGTTGACAAATAGGACTTCTTCATTGAGAAACTGGATATGTTTAACTAAACCCACAACTAAGTCACCAAAACCACTTCACTTTATTAACTATTGCAACAAACTATTGCTTCAAATCTTGGACCAAACTACAGATTATGCAACTAATTTCCAAACTCAACAACCCCAATTCATCCTTGCAATTTATATAAGCACATACCTTTAGATAATACCAATCGTCCAACTTAGAAACAAACTACAAGGAAAGGGATTGAAGAACCAGTAGATCTCTCGCGCTACCTACTAGCAAAAATTCCATCTAAGATAGATTGAATCGACAGACTTAATTATACTTATTTCATGGCTCGCGCACTAGTACTCTTGGACAACAAGTTCACTAGCCTATCTCAACTAGTTGCAAGCCATTCGAGGAAATGGAAGCGCAAGTGGAGAGCATGTTATGGCTATGGCGATGAACATGACCCTGTTATTCAACTCAATAATGAAGAGATTGATCAGAGTTACTATTTTGGAGAAGCTGATCCAAACACATGCAGTGGTGAAGTCTCTGTAATCTGGAAGAAAAATATAATCATGGGAGGAAAATGCCAGCTTCCTCAATTTTCTGGTGTCATAATTTATGATACTGCTGGGAATTTAGTTAATCCCAAAACTCCACGCCCTCTTGCACTTCCATGGAAAGAATAATGTTCCGTCCATTCATAAAAAGGATTAATATTGCTCTTTAATATTTATGTACTGGTTGGTTATTTCCTTCTTTTCTTTCTTTTTATTTTTCTTAAATCTATTGAGAACCAAGTGATTTAGTAAATGATGTACTCTCTCTCAACGTTTATAACTTGCCTAACTTAATGCCAATGTATCCTGAAAATTGAATATACTGAACTCAAAGGATATTTTACAAAACGGGGAAGAAAAGAATTTCTTATTTACTACAAATGAAAAGTAAGAACTAAGGCAAAGTGGTTCGTATGCCTACTTTACCTACTTGACGAAAGGAAACAAAATGTCTTATCAGTAATTCAATAGTCAATACTTTCTAAGTTCATCCAGTGTTTGTCCAATAGAACAATCTGTGTCAGTCAAAACGAATCAGAAAACTGAAATGTCGTTGAGCTCTAATAACAGTTACCTAGTAAAATACAAATTGCTAACCATACAGGCGCGCGCACACCAAAAAAAAACATAGAGACAAGAAATTGATGGACAAAGTTTGCAAAAACTATTCAATTCTTAGGTATTGGAGAGGAGCCACACACTGAATATGCAGGTGTAGGTATATTACAATATAAACTGGTGAATGCCACACGAGGGTGAGGGGCGGGGGCAGGGCTCGGGGTAAAGGAAAAAATGCTTGGAACTGAACCTTTGCAGTCCCTCTGATTCATAATAAGGAAACTGGCACCTCTTCATCAGCAAAAGGTTGAATGTATCCAACAAATCAAGAATTTTCCTTGGATGGAACAATTATTTGTGGCCAAATAAATCAACTGTACATCTCAGGTTTCAGGACTCCCACGTAGGGTAAGTTCCTATAAAGCTCAGAAAAATCTAATCCATAGCCAACCACAAAATAATCTGGACACTGCATGCAAATTAAATGAAGAATGATAAATAAAAGGTTACTTGCACCAATATTTCTAGTGCGGAATAGAAAGTTATAATTAACATCTATACATACATATA